TTTCGTACGATCACTTGCGTGTTTTTGGATGCAAGGCCTTTGTTCATATTCCGAAGAATGAGAGGTCGAAGCTTGACATGAAAACAAGGCCATGTGTGTTCGTCGGTTATGGCCTTGATGAGTTTGGATACAGGTTCTATGACCCAGTGCAGAAAAAGCCTGTAAGAAGTCGAGATGCGGTGTTCGTAGAAGACCAGAGTATAAAATACATCGATAAAGCCGAGATGACAAAGAAGTACAACGATGATCTGGTTGATTTAGATCCAGTTCCTATACCTACTGTATATCCAGGTCAAGGGGGAGCGGCGTCAGAGACTGATATTGGTCCTGCACATGGTGATGTCCCCAATGGTGACGTCCCCACAGTTGATGGTGTTGAGCCAACTGATGAAGTTGAAGAAGGGGTTCAAGAACCACTAGAAGAACCTATTTTGAGGAGATCCAGTCGAGAGCGGCGCCCGTCTACTAGATACTCCTCAAATGAGTATGTGATGATCACCGATGCCGGAGAGCCAGAAACTTACCAAGAGGCGACCTCAGTCGATGAGAAGAAGATGTGGTTGAAAGCCATGGAAGAAGAGATGGAGTCTTTTCACGAGAACCACACTTATGACTTTGTCAAGTTACCTAAAGGCAAGAAAGCGCTCAAAAACAGATAGGTCTATAGATTGAAGATCGAAAATGCTAGCTCGCAGCCACGATTCAAGGCACGATTGGTTGTGAAGGGCTACGGTCAGAAAAAAGGAATCGACTTTGAAGAGATATTCTCACCAGTGGTGAAGATGTCCTCGATTCGAGTTGCTCTTGGTTTAGCGACGCGGTTGAACTTGGAGATCGAGCAACTTGATGTGAAAACTGCATTTCTTCACGGCGACTTGGAAGAAGAAATTTATATGGAGCAGCCTGAGGGATTCCAAGTTAAAGGCAAAGATCATCTTGTGTGCAGATTAAAGAAGAGCTTGTATGGTCTTAAACAAGTTCCGCGGCTGTGGTACAAGAAATTCGACTCCTTCATGATGAGTCATGGGTACAGCCGGACATCGTCAGACCATTGTGTGTTCGTCAAGAGGTATTCCGATGATGAGTTTATTATTCTCCTCTTGTACGTTGACGATATGTTGGTCATAGGCCATGATACTAGCAAGATTGCTCAGTTGAAGAAAGAGTTAAGCAAGTCTTTTGCGATGAAAGACTTGGGAGCGGCGAAAAAGATACTCGGTATGAAGATCTCTCGTGATAGAAAGAATGGGAGACTATGGTTGTCCTAGGAAGACTACATCGAGAAGGTACTTGAGAAGTTTAACATGAGCAAGGCAAGAGTGGTGAGCTCTTCACTTGCAGGTCACTTTAAGCTCAATTCGGAGCAATGTCCTACAAGTGAAAGAGACAAGGCAAACATGAGTCGAGTTCCTTATGCGTCTGCGGTTGGCAGTTTGATGTATGCCATGGTGTGCACCAGGCCCGATATTGCTCATGCTGTTGGAGTAGTTAGTCGTTTTCTCTCCAATCCGGGAAGAGAGGATTGGGAAGCCGTCAAGTGGATATTGAGATATCTAAGAGGTACCTCAAGAGCATGTGTATGCTTCGGTGGTGGTGATCCTATGCTAGTTGGATATACCGATTCAGATATGGCAGGTGATATTGATTCCAGAAAGTCCATTTCAGGATTTCTGATGACTTTTGCAGGGGGAGCCGTGTCGTGGCAGTCTAAGCTGCAAAAGTGTGTTGCGTTATCTACTACAGAAGCTGAGTACATTGCGATTACAGAAGGTTGCAAAGAGGCTTTGTGGATGAGAAAATTCCTTGAGGAATTGGGGTTACACCAGGAGAAGTATGTTGTGTTCAGTGATAGCCAAAGCGCTATCCACCTCTCTAAGAACTCGTCATTTCACTCGAGGTCCAAACACATTTAAGTGAGGTATCACTGGATTCGAAACATTCTCGAATCAAAACAATTGCACTTAGCAAAAGTGCACACGAGTGAGAATGGTGCATACATGATGACGAAGACTTTTCCGAAAGAGAAGCTTGAAGTATGTCAGCGAAGAGCGGGCTTGTTGGAGCCCACCACTTGATCCGGAGGGGGAGTTTGTTGAGTCCGGCCCAATTATGGTGGGCTTGGATTAAATAAGGGCCAAGGCCCATTGTCATCTAAAATTAACATAAAAAAAA